GGATCCGCCACTGTGCGATATTCAAAAGGGTTCAGTTGAAGCCAACAGAACAGAAGAGCTTTTGTTGTGAACCAAGGACATACGTGGATGGCGTGGCAAATTTCGAAGAAGTATTATGAGAGCATACCTTTTGATCAGATTCTTCTTGTGGAGAAACAAAAAAAAAGCTTCGTGCGTGCTTGCGGACGTTGCAAAAACACATTCTCTCGGTCGAAAAATTTCCATTATCCTATTCTCTCGGGAACTGATTCGCGCGTGGTATGAAGAGTTTTTTTTTCTCATATTTTATTTGCATCAATTAATTTCCGATAGGCCTCACTCTACACTGAATACGCCTTTTGTCCTGAGTCAAAATAAGGACACGCAAGTTGCAAGTCTCAAGCGCAGTTCTCGTTCTTCGCTTTTCAATTGCTTTTCTTTTTTTTTTCGCACCATGAATTGAAAAAAGCAACCGTCACTCAGTGTGGTACCGACAATGAGTTTCATTTGTTTTTTACCTTCTCATTATAGTAGTGGCTTTGAAAAGTCATTTCTCCGAAATGAAAACGCGTCCGCTATTCAAATTCTCCACTTGAATTCTCATTCCTTTGGCGGAATGAAAATTTTCCGTCGGTGCGTTGTCACGATTTTTGTGCCTCTCATTTTGCGAGTAAGTTTTTGCTAATGAATATAGCAACTCCAGTCTATCGTGTGTGACAACACAACGACAAAAACAGCCATTGTGAGGTGGCGGAATGAAGCTCGAAGTACGAAGAGACAAGGATCATATATGAAGCGTACATATTTTCCATTTTTTTACAATATAAAAAAGTATAATGAAACGGAATAGTTCGTCAGCTTGCCTTGAAAAAGTAATTGTGAATAGTTTAAGAGGGACTAGACAAAGTATAGGATTGAAGGAAATTCCTCGTTAATTATTTTTAAGCTGCGGTTTGAAGTCATATTCTGTTTAATTTTACCTTTCACCTAATATACCTCCAACTATTTGTATCGTTAATATACTATACGAGAGAGGAATGAAGAAAGAAAACTGATGCATTCTCAAAATAGAGAGGGCGTCAAGATTCATGAACTTCGAAGGGGAAATGTATTTTTTGTTTTGTTTTTTTGAAACCTACCTTGACATTTTAATTTTTATCCGCGGAATCCACAGTAAAATGTGAAACCAAGAAGCAAAATATTACGAAGACTTGTATTTTTAAAAGAGGCGTACGACTATTGAATTGACTGCTTTTGCATACATTTTAATATTTAAATATCAATGTTTAACTCCTACATGGTTTTCACTTATTTAGAATGTTAGCGTTGAATTCGAGCAGAGGCATGATATACTGACTGTTGTGGGAGTGCTTTGAGAGCGGTACTGGAGTCTTGTTTAAGTACGTGACATGTTTTACTTATATAGTAGAGTGTCGCGCGATCATTGTACCACTTATCAAGAAGCGGGCGAGTGTTTTCCCGAAATTAATTGACGTTTCTGCTAAAATGACGGCCATAATTTTTCAACGAAGAACTGATCTCAGCTATGATACGAAATGCGACAATTGGGGTCAAAAAGGTTGCAAAGTGTTTCCCGGTTTGAAGTCTCACGTATGGTTCTTGTTTCTATATATTTCCTTTTTCATGAAGCTGTATATCAATTAAGAACAAAATCTTGACTTGGTATTCCTTCTACTTCTCCCTATGTCATTGTTTCTTTGCGACGAGAATCTTTATAAATCGTTAATGTCACATTTTTCCGCGTTGGGTAGACTTCCCTCATGTATTCATTAACGTGCCAGCTAGCACACTTAAAGCGCAGCCAGTATAAATACATTATATTATGAGTACTTTTTTTTAGTGATTTTCAAACCTTAGGTTTGACGTGATCATGAGCCTTTGGATATAAGCTTTGACGGATCAAAGTAATTTGCCGTGTATGCTTTTTTCAATATTTCGCGGTGAATCCCAAAAAAAGATTTCCGTTCTTAAAGTTGGAAAAGTTCGAAAGTTCAACATTTTATTTGAAAGTACATCCAATTTTTTGTATGCTTTTAAAGATTGTAGTGCATGACCATGACAGCTCGGTTTTTGTAGAGTGAAAGGGGGAAGCAAATGCTCTCATTTTGTCATCATTCAAAAAGTAGTACAGCAAAGGTCAAATGAAATCCTACTCGCTCAAATACTATAGCAGGGTACCAGAATTACGGACTTTGCGTTAGTAAACGTTACGCACGAAATGAACGGATGGTTAAACGCATTGTTGAAGCTTATACGGTACCCAAAGGGATGACTTATGAGACATGCCACCGCCACGTTACGCATGAGCCATCAGTTTTTAGAATACTTAGTTTTAATGCAGAAAACCGATGGGGAACTAGGTAAGCCTCCGTGTAGCCTTCTTTGCAGCGAAAGGCTGAAAGAATGTCTATCATTGTTTAAATTATTACATTGCACTAATCATTGTTTTGGACTAATTAAAAGAATGGAGAAAAATTGATAGGAGAAGATTCCCATTTGAACCAACACATTTATCGGTCAAAAAAAATTTGACGGGAGAGTCGCTAAAGTGGATGAATTAGGTGTGGACGATAAGTCCTCAACCCTTACAGCATTATACTAAATTGTAACTTCTGAAATAGTGTCAGTCCTAAGGAGTCGGTCCATTAAATTCATAACGGACGTTTTGGACGTAACGGACCAAAAGGCGTTTTGTTTGATCTAGGAGTGCTCGCGGACTTTCAAGTCTCTACCTCAATTTGTCCAGAAGTTACAGAGTTTATGCCTGATGCTGTCATTCAGGCGTTGCCAAATTTCCTCTGGAAAATCGCTAATTTTTGGGAAAATTGTTGAATATTTTTCTGCCAATTTCTTACCTAATTTTGTTTGTAATTTGATTTAAAGTGTCTGAAAATTTCAAGCAAAAATACGCAAAATTTTCCTCCAAAATAAATTTTTTTTCGTAGGAAATTTGGCAACCTTTGAATGTTCATACGGCGTTCTTCCTTTATCACGGCGGTAATACTCGTACGTGAAATATTTAGTTGTAAAATATCTCACCTCAATCGTTTTGCCTCGTCGATGAACGGTCGTTTCTCCATCTCAGTGAGGAGTTTCCACTCAGCGCCGAGTCGCTTGGAGATCTCTGAGTTGTGCATTTTTGGGTTCTCCTGAGCCATCTTCCGACGCTGACCGCGCGACCACACCATGAACGCGTTCATTGGCCGCTTGATGTGAGCATCCGACGCGCTTACAACCGAACTCAAACTCTGCGGCGAGCTTAAAACACTTTTCCCGTTCATTTTCACTTCGTCCATTAAAATTTAATTTAATATGATTAATTAAATTTAATTGGATTTATTTTTAATTAAATTTTAGGAATTCTTCAGTCAAACTTCACTGAGCTCCAGACACGAAACAGTTAGGTTACTGTCGCCCTGATAACAAAGATGTCTTTGATTTTTACTCTCTCGCTCCCCTAGTTTTAATTGGGTGCGTTGCGAGATTTTCAAAATAATTCTACTTCGAGTATTACTTTAATCGATCGAATTTTATTGGACCTCTCAAAATTGATTTTTTTTAGTTGGCTAGTCTTTTGTCATTCTGTGTTCTAATAACGCAAAAATGAAAAATATTTGAAATTTTATGGAGGGGTCTACGTAATCTTATCTACAAGTCAATAGTTATTCCCGGAAGTTCATCGATTGGTTGAAACCACCTGAACTTTGCTAAAGTTCTCTTGAGATTCAGCATCTGGATAAATTCAATCAAGCACCGGAAACGTGAAACGAGCACAGTTCGAAATCTGGAATAACAGAAAAAATTGCACGTTAAATTGGTACTCTAAGAACAGAGAAAACAAGCCACCGAGCAAGCTACATCTGCTCAAGAGTAGCTTTGAAAACAAAATATTAGTGATGCCATAAGTGTCACCGTCGGAGTGCAGAATCGCAAGTCGACAGCGAAACTCTAAAACCACGTATCTCAGTTTGCGACGTTGCAGCCTTTCCTGTCATACTTTATGTCTCAAATGAAAAATCACTCAACGTCAATTCGTTAAAACCTTCGTGATTTTTCCTCTTTCTGCGAAGAGAATTCTGAGAAATCTCCAAGGAATAATGTTGATTTGTTCTATTTTAAAAAAACAAAATTGGAGCGGATATTTTAAAACGGGCAAACGAGATATCGACGGTGAAACTACCAAACCACGTATCTCGGTTTGCGACGTCGCAGACTTCCTGTCATACTTTATTTTTTAAATGAAAAACTACTTAACGTCCAGTCTTGAAAATTTCTGTGATTTTTCCTCTTTGTGCGAAGAAAATTCCATGAAAATTTCAAGGAATGATATTGATTTGGTCTACTTCAAAAAAATAAAATGTGAGCGTAGATTTTTAAACACCGCAAACGAGATACGTGGTTTGGTAGTTTCGCACCGTCGATATGTACTTTAAAGAGTTTCACCGTCGAGGTTTAGTTTACTGTTTAGTCTGAAAGGCTTCCGGGACAATAATTAGTTTTATGCTATGAATTGAACACTGACGATACAGGGGGAGGGTGGTAAAGGGGTGGTTGCGCCTCCCGTTCACGAAAAAAGTAGAGAGGGTGAAAAGTTTTAAAAAGTCACTTTCTGGATCGAATGAAAGGGTCTCAACCACCCAATTGAAGTGGTTCAATCTACCAACAGAAGCAAATCATTCTCATGTAAAGATCGCACACATGTTTTCTTAATGCCCATTAAAGCTTTGTCCCGCGGTTGACAGAGCCCCTCTGATTTTCAAGTTTTAGAAAAGGAGGTGGTTAGGATAAAACGGGGGGAAAACAAATAAGGCCACAAGTTGTACAGGTTTTTTAATAGCTCTGCCTCCAATTAGGTCTTGTCCATAGTGTCCTCTTAAGTCCACCAGACTTAAGGGAGAGACTTAAGGGGGGGGGGGCTTAAGATTACACTTTTCCAGGAATTAACAAAATAATTTATCGATTCTCTTCTCTCTATATCCTTCAGTGTCTGTCAACATATTATTGAGTCTTCAGAGTTTAACATACGTTTTCTTAAATATTGGATTTGCTTTAGTTTGTTTTCTCTTGAAGAAGATTAAGGGAATATTTATAAACAATAGCTCTATTTAAACTAGACAAATAAACCAAGTGGTAGTTTACTGATCTGAAACGTTTTGTATTAGGTTGATCTCATAATGAAGAGAGTGCTAACATTTTCAGGACCATGCAAACATGCTGTTTGCACTGTACGTACAGACAATTTTTGCTTTAGAAATGTTGTATTAAAACGCCTGTAAGAAACTCATCATGTCCTCAACAGAAAAATAAAAGTTGCTCTTTTAAAATCCCAGAAATAAATCTCTGCGTGACCCACACGTAAAAATTACATCTGGAAGTAATTCCACTTATAATTTTTGAGAGTCAACAATGAATAGTAACTGCAGATTATTCTTCTTCTTAGAAATAGGTATCAAATGAGCAAGAGATTTTCAACACCATAATCGCGATATCGTTTCTGTACCATGAAAATCGACATTGCTACCCCTTTCAGTTAGTATTTACTTGATATAATGTTTTTGGACGTTGAAAAAAGAAGCAAGAGGGTTGTTAGATATTTTACCGGTATATTATACGAACCGCTATCAATCATACGATCATTTTTTGAGGACTAAAACCAATGTTTGCTCAAACTTACACTGCACTCTCATATACGTCGAAAATGTTTTTCATTCTTGTGAAATCAAGCAGTGGTATTCATATCCCTCAAAAAACGATTGTAGTTAATAATCGAAATAATGTACGAACCTTAAATCAAAGCGGAGAAACTTCCAATTTTAACAGATAACTGAATTCTTGCTCCAGAAGACTAACTAAAAAAACAACTTTTGGAAAGTTCAACTTATCACAATCATATCTTTATGTAAGACACCTGTGTTCATATGGAAATACAAGACACAAATTATAATTTTGACGAAAACCGCACTATCTGTTACAAAGTTTGATGCTCTCGAGATCAAAAAATGCCGGCTCTAAACGCTATAAGATAAACTTGAATATTTCACTGAAAACGTGATGGGTAGAGCTTATCCAGTAAAACACACTTCGTACTCGAGCAGGTGAATGGCGTTAAACAACTGACACAATACCGAGCATGAAGCCGCTATTAGACACACGAAAAGCAACAAAGCGCGTTTGCACGTGCGATATCCGTGACGAATTGCCCGCGCGAGCAGCGAGCGAATCAACGGCTCCCGCGACCAGGCTCAGGTTGTCATTGCCGACGCCCCGCCCACCAGCCGCCCGATTGTTTCAGCGGCGGCGCCGACCAATCGCGACGCTCCCAGCAACAAGTGCGCCCCTTGGAAAGTTTTTCTGCCGCGCACAGTGGGCTCGCGATCCCGTCCACAGCCGAAACGCCGTAATTCTATCCCAAATACTGTAATTTTAAATTGAAAAAAAAGAAAGACGAGCCTTTGCACGCTATGTTATTTATTTAAAAGTCCTTTTAGTGGATGTACATTTTGGACATACACTGAAAAAAAATTATCGGCGTTTTTACCAAAGTCCGTTGGAACCTTTACCATCTCACTTTTTTTACCAATTATTGGTAATTTTACCAAGACAGACTGGTAAGCTTACCTAACAACCGGTATTTTTACTGTTTTTTTCAGGTAAGAATACCACTTTTATTGGGTAATCAATTCGCGGTAACTTTGCCATTTTTTCTCGGTAATTCTACCACAGTCGATAAAAAATATTGGCGTTTTTACCAAGGTCCAGTAAAATTACCGAGAAAGTTCAATAATTTTACCGAGATTCTCGGTAAAATTACCAATTTCATAAATGGTAATTTTACCAACAAAAAACTGGGAATAGAACCCTGAATTCTTGGTAGTTTCACCCTTTTCTTAATAAATACACCGAGATTTTTTTTTCAGTGTAAAGTCCATTCTCAACACTTAAACACAAAATTACACAGTGAAAGCACAGGTAGTAGATGAAATATCACAATGCATGACAATCAAAGCAGGAATAATTAAACAAGTGAACGGGTTAAAAGCAAAAAAACGCGTAATTATTAACCCTTTATTGCATAGCGTTGCATGCATGAGAGCAACACGTGGTTTTCAGCTTTATTTCTATACTGGAGTGTTAAATTGTGAATCAAAGCAAGAAATGATTTTTGGGGAGCATTTCAAGTCTGATCTCCTGACTTTAAATAAAAAAAAAAAAAAAAAAAAAAAAAAAAAAAAACTACAAAAATCAATCTCAACTGACTCTAATGTCGAAGAAATACTGTACAATGTAGATTTTCTCTCCACAATCACAATCAACGAAAAGCTCATGCAACAAAGGGTTAAATAAATAGCTAATCGATTTATTATCAGTCTTTATCAAAACATAAACACGGCCTGATCAGCGAAACTGATTATACAAACACAACCAGTAGATGTCAGCACTCGTATGGGGAATAATTGTATAGATGTTATCAAATCAATGAATTTTTAAGCATAAATCAGTCGAAAGAAAAGCACCACTCATAATGTCCACTTGCATATTTCACAAAGTTTCCCCTAAAGTGGGGGACTTACTTTTAAATAAATAATATAGCGTGCAAAGGCAAGTCTTTCTCTTTTTCAAATTTAATTTAGTTAATTAACACGCAAAATACGGTACCTCAAATACTGTAATTATTACTCATATTGCTCTATTGCAAGAAAATCTACGTGCCGCATGGCTTCACTCTTTTATTTTGAGTTCCCAATGGTATGCCATGAGATGACTCGGAAAAATGAAGAATGGATGTTAAACAGTTTTCTTGTGAAACAGCATTTAATCGGAAGTGAACATTTTATCGAAGGAAATTTGGAAACTATCAAATGTTCCTGCAGCGTTCTTCCTTAGCACAGCAGTATAGTAGCAGGGTTCATCGTACCTTTTAAAAAACATGTAAAGGAAAAGATCGGTTTTACACGGAGAAAGAGACTCGTGCGTGGCACCGAGGAGGTTATATGGATCTCTGAAGTTTTCGGATCCAAAAACTTCAGAGATCCTTATATGACCTGAATTTGGGTCCAATGCACATTCTTCTGTCCACACAGCCTAATGCCCAGCGATTAAATGAAAACGAAGATGGGATTTTGTTTACTTCTTGAAAATACAAATTTTTTAATCACATCTTCATATGCATTGATGCAGTTGTCATATGGACCCATTGAAATCAAAAAGAACCATATCAATTCTGACATGAGCCCTGAGGTCCATAAAAGTACATTCATGAAAGGGCTCATGTCACAACGGATATAGTTCTTTTTTATTTAGACACGTCTTTCATAAATATTGTGAGACGATAGACAATTCTTATAAACGGTACTTAAGACGATTCGATGGTAGTAAAACTGAAGGTATTTGAATCTTGGTTCGCGGCGTCGTAGACTTTCTGTCTTAAATTATTTTCTACGGAAAAAACTACTCAAATTTACTATAATGTCATTTCACTGTCATAATACTCCATTTCTTGAAAACTCCGGTGATTTTTCCTCGCTATGTGTATAAAGAATATCTCGTTCAAATTTCAAACTATGATTTATTCGGCCTCTTTATTAAAAAATAAAATAGGAGCGGATATTTTAAAACACCGCGCGACCATATACGCATTGTTGTAGTCTCGCGGTCGAATTCCTGGTTCCTACATGTTAAAATACTATACCGTCGCGAAAAATTCACATAAATGAATTTCTAGAGTGTGTACGATATAAATAAATATACCACGAACGACAAAAAACAGGAATATTTGTTTTGTTTACATATCGGTTAGAAGTGGAATTAGTTTCACGTATCAAACCAGATAGAATGTAAAAAGTTATTCGATCAAGTTTATCAAAAGTTAAAATTAACCAATATTGCGAAAAGGAAAAATATACCTTAATTAACCTTTCATTAATCGTTATGGACTAATAGTTAAGATAGGTCTTTTTCCTTTTCATTTTTTGTTAATTTCAACTTTTGGTAAACTTGATCTAATAACTTTTTACAATCTGTATACTTTGATAAGTGAAACTAATTCCACTTTTTAGTACATTATATATTTTCTGCCTCAAGATTTTTTTTTATGACAACGTACGTCACTGTACGTGGCTGCGCAGTAGTATCACGTTCTATTCGGAACACACAAGGAATACCCATTAACCGAACGTGTAGAGGTGATTCTGGCGAATCGGCAATTCGCCTTCAATTTTCCTTGTAGGCAACACAAGCTCCCTCGTGGTCGAATAGTGGTATCGTCGTAAAATGGCATGCTAGCTCGGAGTAAGCGCAAAAAATAGCTTTTCGAAGGATGAGAATGAGGTGACTTTAAAACGCCATGCCAGTCCGCCTTCAACTTTCAGTGTAGGCATCATGGGCTCTCACGTGGTCGAATAGTGGTATCGCCGTAAATGTCACTTTATTTGAACACACAGAGACGCGAACTTAAACGCGTTATCAGATCCTATGTAATTCTGATTCTAGGCAATATGAACTCATAGAACATGGCCGAGGCTTTCAGTTTCCCCCGAGAATCGTTCTCTCATCAAATTGTGTTAATTTACATGTTTTGTAAATACATCGAGTGGTATGAACAGAAACCTCAAAGACTATTCCGTTGAAAAAATTCTTATTGTATCAAAAAAAAAAAGTCCTTTTAAATATGTTGAGTCTGGAATTTCTCATTACAACAAGAGGTAATCTCCATGTTTCTAACAGCATATTTCTACTATTTCAAAATGAAATCCAGTCGCTGTGAAGAGATTTCCGTATTTGATGAGAAATATTATCGCAACATATTTAACAGAAACATTCATTCAGCGTAGAAAGCATACATTTTGAGCACTTCAATACTTATAAGTCATCAAAATTCCCTGTTATCAAAAATATGTGGAAAAATCACTCATGACTGGAAATTAACATTTTTTGCGTAGCATTGAACGGATCAACGTCTCTTTGACCTAAGAGCCAACATATACTCTTTATTTGGGCCAGCTCATTAGTATGCTATTTACAAGCAAAGGGCACAGTCCACCCTCTGACCATACTTCGCGCCTAAGGCGTCATGCGTTACGCATTACTCTTATGATTTTATATTATAGAGTATGATAAGAGGAAGAGAAAAATTCCATTTTGTTTTGGCGTGAGAAGTACGAATGACTCCCCGTGTGGCGATTAAGTGATTTTGGAATCCCTTGATTTTTCGAGACGATCATATTCTCTCACCGATCAGAACTCCAGACGCTCTCAAAAAAGAATTGTTTTTTTGGAAACTGACTGATTATTAGAAAATTGACGATGTTGGAAATGAATGCTCTCAAAATTTACCCAAAACAAATTAAGCTACAGGAAATCGATTTATGCTGAAGTGCTTTAAGTTTATGCCTCCGCAACACACCGTTATTTTATAAAACTCGCGCGATCTCATATTATAACTTATTTATTCGGATGCATATCAGTTCCCAACGTACAGTTTCCTAATAGGTCGGTTACTTCGTATAATGATTTCCTATTCAGCCGAACTTGAAATAATCATTGGAGTCAGACAAGTTTTTAGCACAGCATTATTATTGTACCCTCATCTTTACCCACGGAGCCTGTAATGCCAGCTTTCGTTTTTGCTTTTTTATCAAAATTGAAAATCTCTAAAATTCATTTTATCAGGAGTGTTTCTTTTTAAATTATACCAATGAATTTGCTGGACATAATCGTATTTTCTACTTTTAGGGGGAGGATATATCGCAACCAGGGCTTTATTTAAAATGAATCCTCAAGCATAAATGGTCATTTATATGGACATTTTCACTCCTGAAAATGTCCATAAAATCACTTAGTATACTTTTTGCCCCCAAACTGCTGAAATAACCACAAAAACAACCGAAAGAGTAAGGGTCAAAATCCTGGCATGACTCCACAATCTTCGTACAAAATTATTTCACGAGGGAAAAATAACGATCAAGAAAAACACTTTAATATATGATTTGGCTCGAATGTCTCAAAGACTCGAAGAGATTTTCCCTTTTTCAGAGGTTTTGGTAGTTATATTTGAAGTGACTCATCTTTGGTAGAGAAAAATGAATCAAGATCTAAACAAACCATCGTCGATTATAATTACCGATGGTAAGCCGTCCTGTGCAATGAACCGTTAGTGCGTCATTGAATAAAAATACTCAACGGATATTTCAAAAAATTATATTTTTACC